ATGGATTTTTCAGGATTTAAAACAAAATGCCCAAGCACTTGCATGTAATCTTTGGAAAGAAAATTTCACCTTATTTGAGTTAGATGAAGTAATGCGACAAAAGGATGACTTATCATTTGCACAGCTTTTGAACCGTCTTCGTCACAATGAGATGACTTCTGCGGACTTGGATATAATTCACAATTGCATCATTGCTGAAAATAGTCCAAATTATCCACACAATGCTCCCCATCTGTTTACAATGAATGCGAAAGTAGATGAATATAACAATAAACTAATAGAGCAACTTCCTGGTGAAAAAGTCATTGTGAAAGCTGTTGACAGTGTCCTTCAAGACCATAGTAAGACTGTGAAAGAACGACTACTCCGATCATTACATAATCAAGATGATGTAAGCAAAACGGCAAACCTCATGACAAGACTAACTCTAGCCATTGGAATGATATATGACATTACAGTTAATATTGATGTTACTGATGGCTTGACAAATGGTTCATCATGTACTGTATATCTTGTTGAAAACAGATTACCAGGTGTATCAAGGCCAAGTATAGTGTGGGTGAAGTTTTTGGATTCTGCAGTAGGGAGAAGTACTCGACAGAAATACCGCCACCTTTACCATGATGATGTTATGGATGATTGGACACCAATATTTGACTGTCAGCGATCTTTTGTTTTCAATTCAACTACATACCAAAGAATACAGTTTCCTTTAAGACCAGCTGCTGGTAAGACAATCCATAAGGCTCAGGGCTGCACTGTTGATGAAATTGTAGTAGATTTGTCTCAGTCAAGGATAAGGAAAACACCCCACATTCATTATGTAGCTCTTAGTAGAGTTAGATCTGTTGACAAGTTGCATATTCTGAATTTCAATGAGCAAGCATTAACTGTGGATGAAAAAGTTGTAGAAGAAATGGATAGAATGAGGCAGGAAGCACCTCTAAATCTGTGTTATCTTCCATTGTACAAAGCCGAGCAGAGCAAACTAAAAATTATGTTTAATAATGCAAGATCTCTTCACAAACATTTCAATGAAATTCAAAATGAACCCAATGTTGTAGCCTCAGATGTTATTGGTTTTTCAGAAACAAGATTAACCATCAATGATGAACAGAATTTTATGATGGAAGGTTACTTTACTTTGTTTAATCATGAAGAGAGAAGTGACAGAAATCGTCCTCATCATGGAACAGCATTATACGTTAAAAAGGACCATTTGATGACATGTATCTCAAAATTCAGCAACACTTTGCTCGAGTTCATCATAGCTTTAGTAAATTTCAGAGACTTTGGAGAAGTGCAGATAGTTGTTTTCTACAAGTTCCCAGCATGTTCTTATAAAGAATTTGAACGTGAAATTATGTTGCACTTAAAACCTTTTGTAGACACAGAGAAAAAAAAAATTGATAATTCTTGGAGATTTCAATTTTGATTTGTTTACAGGTCACAAAGAATTTCTGAACTTTATGAAGTTGAATTTAAAATGCACACAATTGGTAAAAAAGGTAACTCATGATTTAGGTTCACAACTTGATTTGATTTTCACAAACTTCCCTCACAGTGAAACTGATGTGATTGAGGCATATTGGTCCGACCATAAAATGGTGTACTGTACATTATAAATCTATTATAAGGGACGCATGAGTACTTATTTGGGGGAGATACGTCTTCTTGTCCCCTCTCCCACTTACCACTGTGCCAGTGTCACTTTGTGACATTTGGTACATTGGTTACTGTATACAGGGTATATTCGCCCTGTGTTATTTTCATCCTTTCACACAATTTTGCAACATTTTAAAATCACCCAGTCACAGTTTTGTTGAAAAAATCAACTGTGTTCTTTTAATTTTCCCCCTTTTAAATTTGTCTACCTCTAAGATGGATGACGGGCAAAAATATAAGGGGGGGGGGGTCGAATATTTCCCTGTATACAGTATCTTATAGGCACCAATTACTTGATGTAAAATTTTGTTTGTTATTACAGATATGTATACTTAAAACTATATTTATGTGCACTGTGCATAGGAAAAAAAAAAAACAACTCATTAATGATTACAAAACAATTGGACTCTAAAAGTTTTGTGAAACAGTAAACCTTCATTGTGACTTTTATTGTTGATAAATTTTCATCAGACAATTAATACATGTATGAAATAATTGAATGTTGCATGTTAAGGAAAATACCTGTACATCAATGACAATCATTCCTGTAAAATAAAGGATGATCATTGTATTATTTGTTAATGTTTATATATTATATATGTATATACTGTATTGATGTTTGAGTTAGACTTTTAGCCTTACTGTTTAAATTCTTCTCTTTAAATGATGCATGAACATCATGAACTTGGTATTTTCAATATACCCGGAACATGAAATATTTTGAGATTACATGAATTGTTAATGGAGGCGAGTATATAAAGTTTGATATATTAAAAGAAATTAATAAGTTCTGCTAAATAATGATTAGAGTTGTTTTAGAAATATACACTTGCATCAAGTAATTGGTGTCTTTAATATATGTTCAATGCTGTATTTTATTATAGTTTTATAAAGTGTATTCACCAGATATCATCTGTTCATGAAAAAAAAATTTCTGTATAGAAATATTGTTATTTTATTAATGTTTTAAATTAAAAAACACTTTGATAGTAACTTTATGTAGAAACTTGTGACATTATATATATGTCATTATTACGAATCTTTTATAAACCTTTGTGTGAGATTTTTACTGGATATTTAGTTTATAAGTTGATGATTTATTGCTCATCTTTAAGTTGTTAAATGTCAAATTTTGGTCAAGTACACGTTTTGTAATAATCTATAAACTTATATTATTGACATAGGCTTAGGAAAATGCATCTAGTTACTGGTTTTCCATAACAGTGTATTCATGGACGTTGATAAAAGGTGTGGTCGCTTTTTAGAATTAATTAATATTTTCCCAGAACAAAAATTGGAACACCATGCAATAAAATATCATTGTTGGTGCGATATTTTTGTAGAATTTCATTATCTTGATGACATATCTAAGTTGACATACGTTCAAGTCTCCCCCGGGTTTCCCAACTATCCATTTTCAGAAAGCTCGTGCCTTATGTTGATTGGAAAGTGGTGAAATTTTCCAATATTGTTGCATTATGGCTCTATATTATGAATATGCCTGTTGATTGATTTCATCAAATAACAATAAAATTTTAGAAAGAAATTCCACGAACTTTTGGATCAACCCTCGTAGAAATATGGTTAGTTTATTAATGTTACAATGTCTTGTGACATTAATAGTCCATACAGAACAATACTGGAGTACATGAGACTATAAACTTTAACAGTGTATATGAATTAATTAATATTTTCCCAGAACAAATGCAATAACAATATCATTGTCAATATTCTTATCATGAATGTAATTCAAGTCTCTATGTAATTACTTTATAATCAACCTTATGCAGTATTGTAGATGTTACAATTGCTGAGGTTTTAAACAAGCTGGGTGGTAATCAAATAAACCAATAGATGCACTTGTTTTGAAATAATGTTCATTGTATATATGAAACTTTGTGGTGAAATATTTTGACTTGATTATTTATCTTTTTTTGCTTTGTTGTGTTAAAATGTTTAAGTTGATTGTATTTCAAAACATTCAGAAATTGCTTTAAACATGTTAAACATTTACTTTTACTTACACTTTAGTTACGTAAGTAGAATAGGAAAGCAACCTGCATAATCAGACAGTAACTGACAATTCATTCTGAGTTACTGGTATATTGCTAATTTCAGTTAACTCCATGTTATTTTTTCCTTTAATATTCTCCAGCATTGAGATATTTAATTTGTGACCACCATTAATATTATAACCTAATGAGAATGAATTAATATATTAAAAACTTATACCCAGGTAAGTATGAAAAGAGGGGGTCAATGGACAGCCCGTAAAGGGAGGTAAACCTACCTCTTTATAAAATTACAGTTTCTCCTATAAAGGAGAGGAAAAAAAGGTGGATCACTATAATTTCTCATGACTGGTCTTAAAAAACAAAATAATCGATTGCAAAAAGATCTTAATTACATATGTGTATTCCATTTTGGAATATTACCTAAAAGTGTAGGAAATTTGATTCATGCAGGTACTCCAAATAAATGTTACTCGTTAAAGATTCTTTAAAAATAAAAGTTGATATTCAAAGTCAGAGTCTGTTGACCATCGTACATATATTCATTCACTTCCAGTTGCAATCTTTCCAAGTTTCGCTTTCGTTATGTATAGGAAAGATTTACTATTAAGTGAACTTTAATAAATACAGTGTATTTTGTATCTTTCAAATGATTACTTTGATGTATTGAAATTTCCTGTAAAAAATGTTTTGCATTTCTGTCACAATTTTTTGCAATATTACATATTTCATATTGTGTGTATATTTGTTTGTTGAATTCATCTAAAATTTAGATAGTTGATTGTTATTAATGCTTCTTAGTTTTTGTCACACTGTATTATCTACTTATTGTCTGATAAATTTTTAGCAAGTCTGTTGAATTTTGTTAATAAATAAAACTAAAATCTTATTCACATTTTCTGTTTTTATTATATAACTATCATAGCTAATTTACACCCCCCCCCCTAAAAAAAAAAAAAGAAAAAAAGATTTTTCATGGGCAAAGAAATCTTCATGTCTCCCTCACTATTATGCAATAGTTTTATAATGTTAGCATGTTAGACTTCAGAGTTGACAGTACAAGTGCTATATTTTGCAGAAATACTGAGATTGACCTCTTTATGACTAAATTGATAATAGGTAGGCATTAAGCACTGATTGAAAAGAAAGTCTGGTCCTTAGCAATTTTATACTCAGATCAAGCCCAATTACAGTGAATAGATAGAGGAAGTTCATACTCTAACATCTACATGCATAATTCTTGCAAGTATTAAAGGATTTCACTCAGGTGAGAGGGAAAAAATATGTAAAATGCTTTAAAAATCTTTTTAAAAACATTTTCAGAACCTGATGGATGTGTACTTCTTGTCCTCACAAAAGGCCCGCCCTGGGCTGTTTGGGACCCCCATTATCCTCCCGTGTGTGGAGGATACCACCAATCAGGACCTCTATCAGTTTGTGTGGACACAGGTGTCCAGACTGGTCAGTCCTCTCCCTCCCTCCGAGGTCAAGTCAGCCAACCACGCCCAGGACTGGTAAGGAAACAATATTGGTCAATAACAATCTGCTTTTGTGCTTCCTTTATACCTTATTCAAAAATCTTGCCCTTCATTTTTAGATCTTATATCTGTATATGATTGTGTATTTTTGAGAAGGCAGGACTGATATTTGAAAATAAGGTGAATTTCACTGGATATGTAAGGTGCACACACTGATTGGTTTTAGTAGTTTTATTATTATTTAAGAATAAAACTCAGTCTACTAGATTCTTCAGCACACTATTCAAACACAAATTGGCACACTAGTGAAAGTTAGATAGAAATGCAACTTACATATTTATTGTAGTTTTTGTGAGATTAAGAAAGTGTTTGTAGGGATGCTTCCAAATAGAATAGTTGGTTGGAAATCAACATAAAATGCAAGTATGACTATTTTTTTGTCTTAATTGCAATAAATACATTTCATATTTGTATTTTTCCTGCAGTGATGACAGTTTGGGATATGAGTATCCCTTCACGCTCAAAGTTGTCATGAAAGATGGATTGTCCTGTGCTTGGTGTCCATGGTATAGGTAAAGTTCACTCTCTTCTTTAGTGTAATCTCTGATGTGATCTATTAATGTCAAGGAATTTAGATGTCCTGACATAACCATGACAACATAAAATACATTGTAAAGCACATGTGCAAAAATAATGCTAAATTGTGCAAATTGAATAATTATGATAACATCTATTACATTGTATTATTTTAGCTTCATTCTGATAATAGTATGGTGTACATATATATTAATATCTTATGTGTATCACTGAAGAGAGGTTTTAAAATTGTTTTTCAGGTTTTGTAGAGGATGTAAGTTGGAGTGCAATGCGGATGACTTTAACTTTGGAAGTTCATTTCTGGCTATAGACTGGGAACCCACAGCATTACATTTACGATACCAAACAGCTTTAGAAAGGGTACATGAAGAGTTACAATTTTTCTGATTAAATGGTTTTAATGAAATTATATTTAGATAAAAAATGAGAATGTGAAACACATCTTTATAGTGCATATAGATTTTTAAAGGAAATTCTTTTTGTAATGTTAATTTTTGTTTTGCATTTGTGTTGTGTTACTGATTTATTTGAGGGCATGAACTATTTTTAAAGGCCTTCAATTTTTTCCCATCAGAAAAAAAAGAGATGACTTTCTTACACTTTATTGTGTGCTTCTATTTTGGGTAAACAAGAACCATATCCTGATATGCTGATGAAGTGTTTCTGTAATATATTTTATTGAAAGTGATTTTATTTTGTTGACAGTTTATTTTATTTTATTTACAGTTATATGAGGACCATGAGAGTGTGGAGGAGAGCCGGAGGAAGCAGACAGAGCCCATTAACCTGGACACCTGTCTACAGGCCTTCACAACGGAGGAGGAGTTAGGAGAAGACGAACTCTACTACTGCTCCAAGTGTAAAAAACACTGTTTGGCCTCCAAAAAACTGGACATCTGGAGGCTACCACCTATACTGGTAAGTAGAAACATTGTCTGGACATCTGGAGGCAACCACCCATACTGGTAAGTAGAAACACAGTCTGGACATCTGGAGGCAACCACCCATACTGGTAAGTAGAAACACAGTCTGGACATCTGGAGGCAACCACCCATACTGGTAAGTAGAAACATTGTCTGGACATCTGGAGGCAACCACCCATACTGGTAAGTAGAAACACAGTCTGGACATCTGGAGGCAACCACCCATACTGGTAAGTAGAAACATTGTCTGGCCTCCAAAAAAACTGGACATCTGGAGGCAACCACCCATACTGGTAAGTAGAAACATTGTCTGGCCTCCAAAAAACTGGACATCTGGAGGCTACCACCTATACTGGTAAGTAGAAACACTGTCTGGCCTCCAAAAACTGGACATCTGGAGGCTACCACCCATACTGGTAAGTAGAAACACTGTCTGGACATCTGGAGGCTACCACCTATACTGGTAAGTAGAAACACTGTCTGGCCTCCAAAAACTGGACATCTGGAGGTTACCACCTATGCTGGTAAGTAGAAACACTGTCTGGACATCTGGAGGCTACCACCTATACTGGTAAGTAGAAACACTGTCTGGCCTCCAAAAACTGGACATCTGGAGGCTACCACCTATACTGGTAAGTAGAAACACTGTCTGGCCTCCAAAAAACTGGACATCTGGAGGCAACCACCCATACTGGTAAGTAGAAACACAGTCTGGACATCTGGAGGCAACCACCCATACTGGTAAGTAGAAACATTGTCTGGCCTCCAAAAAAACTGGACATCTGGAGGCAACCACCCATACTGGTAAGTAGAAACATTGTCTGGCCTCCAAAAAAACTGGACATCTGGAGGCAACCACCCATACTGGTAAGTAGAAACATTGTCTGGCCTCCAAAAAACTGGACATCTAGAGGCTACAACCCATACTGGTAAATAGACTCTGAGGCATAGTAAATGCTTGTATTTGTAATATGTTTAATTAAGAAGAAAATTCCAATGATTCTTGTGTGCTATTACTCTGAGGAAAAATTGCTGCTATTATTGTAAGAGAAAAGCTCTTGACCTTCTTGCCCCCACCACCAAAATTATAGATAATGTAAAACTGAGGTAAAATTGCCAACCATGTTTGCAATTTTTGTCATCCAAAATTAGCATATTAGCACTTGTATGTACAAATGCATTTATTAAAAGTTTTGAACAAAATTTCATTCAAATTCATCAAGAATTTTTTTGAAAAAAAAAAATGGATTTTGTTTGCATAAGTTTGGAATAGTGTAAAAGTACTTTTTCCACGGGGTCATAATTCCGCGGAATTTCAATTTTCATTTAATCCGCGGGTTTGCAATTTTTGTCATCACAAATTAGCATATTAGTTCTTGAATGTCTGTCACTATATGCCTTGCATTTATTTTAAGTGCGCTTGGATAAATTTCCGCGGAAAATTTGTGACCGCGTACATAGCGTAAATTAATACCACGCGGAAAAAAGTACTTCTACAGTATTTTATAATCATTTTATTTTGTGCCTTTTTTCAGATAATTAACCTAAAAAGATTCCAGTTTTTAAATGGCCGATGGGTGAAGTCCCACAAGATAGTGAACTTTCCTATAGAGAAATTTGACCCCTCCAATTACTTAGCTCCAAGAGCTGTTAGTGAACAATCAGTGACTTGTGTGTGTCAGAGTAATAATTCCGCTGAAATACAACCTGTGCCAAATGGAGACATTCCAAACCATAATGACCTACAGATGGAAGTGGAGAAAGGTAGAATTACTTTCTGCCTGATCAAAGCTGATTTGAAAAAAAATTGTGGTGAAAGTATGTTGTGAAATGCTCTTCACAACAATAATTGTATGTGATATATAACGTACATATTAGTAACTGAATTGAAATTATGCTTATTGTTGCGAATAGTTCAGTAGCACACTTCTTGAATCATTTCAGATGATAAAGAATCCAAAGCATTACCTTGTAAGAAATGTCAGCTCATTAAAAACATTCCAACTGCTGATGAACCCATTAAGTATGACCTATCCTCTATGTCAGTAAGTAATTATTCTTTTGTGTCAGTAAGTAATTATTCTCTATGCAGTAAGTAATTGCTCTGTTTGTCAGTAAGTAATCACGTCTTTATCTTCAGCTCAGAAGGATACAGTTGAATAGCTCACTTACTTAGTTTAAAGTAAAAGTCTAAAAAAAAAAATTAAGCTATAATTTTTACCTTAACATTGGAACAAAAATGTCAACAATTTTTATCCATTTGTTAAGATGCATTTTTTTAATGCCCGCCCTGTAATATAATGGTATCTTATTGTATGCTCCCAAGGCATTTTACGTCAATAAACTGACAATCAGATTGAATTGTACATCTTCTGTTGCAGTGTCACACAGGAATTTTGGGTGGAGGTCATTATGTCTGCTATGCTAAAAACCCCAACCAGAAATGGTACTGTTACAATGACAGTAGTTGTAAGGTGAGTCATTGCTGGCGTTTTGAAAGTTTTATCATTTAGAATCATTTACATGTAGATACACCCCCCCCCCCTCAAAAAAAAAAAAAAAATTAAGAAGTAGTTATGATTTACAAATGATCTTAACATTACATTTTTGATTTCAGGAGTGCACGGTAGAGCAGATGGATTGTAATTCAGCGTACATTTTATTCTACGAAAGAGAAAACATAGACTTTAGTCATTTTATGCCAGACGTGGAGGGTAAAGAACCTGATCTACAAGAAATTGACGACGAGTTCGAATCGGACCTGAAAAAGGCGTGTGTAATTCAGTGATCCTAAGTCAACATGGTCAAGGGCAGTTAAGTTAAAATGCATGACAAAGTCGTATATTTGGTGATTTCTATGTTTATTTATGGAACAGCAGGTTTGAAAGTAAAATAATACTGTAGACATACTTTTACTTATATGGGATTAAACTATATCATATGTATGCATTGAAAAATTTTTCTACTGAAATTTGTCATAGCATAATTAAAGTACATGTAAGATTTAAAGGGACAATCCAAGAAATCCATGCATCTGTGCAATTTTCTGCCCATTCCATGGAAGTGTGACCCTTGGGAAAAAGTATGTTTACAGTATTTTATTGTCTCTTTCTACAGTGCTTCAGTTCATTATTTTAAATGATTGTTTTTGGGGGTATTGTGTTTTTTTTAATGATCCCCCTATTATTGTAAAACTCATTGCTGATAATTTTATTTTTAATTTCAAACCAGTGATACATGTATTGTCTACAAACACAAGATGTAGATGGTGTGTACAGTCATTCCTTGATTTGTTTTGTATATCTTTGTCTGTATTGTTATGTGAGAAAAAGAAACTTAGGGCATAAAATTTAAGAGGAGAAAGAAATGAAAATGAGGTATTCATCTTGAGATTTTTTTGTGTTCATAAGCATGTTTGATGCACCAAATACATTCACACTGCAGAATAATTTCTTATTTTGCTCAGACCCCTTCCTTACATCCCCTCTTTGTTTAATATTTCTTTTAAATTTATTGGAATTGACAAATTTATGAAAGATTGCTCTTCTTTCCATTTAATATGGTACGTGTATATCTTTTTTGACTTTCTGAATACATGCTAGTGACAGAATTAAATGATTTTATACAGGGGTAAAGGCTGAACAATTATTAATTACTGCTCAAGGAGAATGTAGTTTAGAATTAGTTTAAAGATATAGGAAAACAACTCTCCCTTTACTGAAAATTATATATTTATATATACTGTAGGCAAACAATTTTCCGCCTGGGTCAAATTTCCATATTGTATGTGGTCATAATTTGTTTGGAAAAAAATTGTCTCAGTGTACTTAGAATCTATTGCAGAACATCAATTTGAATGTTGATAATCTAAGAAATCTTCAAAATGTTCTACCCCTTGATTAAACAGATATTGTGACTGCGGAATTATGACCCAGTGGAAAAGGTACTTTCAACAGTACATAAAATTGAGGTGGATTACGTTGAGTTTGTTTTATATAAAAGCCTGAAAATACTGAGAACATACAAACAGAAATTTGCTGCAAGGGCTTCAACTATCAAAATGTATTCAGGAGTGCGTAGTGGATAAGCTCTTTATAACACTATGCTTCAATCTTGAATTCAGCCCTGATAATGTTGCAAATGTTAAAACCCATTTTGGTTTCAAAATCTATTTTTAATTCTTTTCTTAAACCCCCTTTTCACAAGTTCTTTATCTATGCAGTACCACTTTTTTTTTCTTAATGTCAGTGAGGCCATGGCCAGCTTTGGTGATTAACTGAACCCTTTGGGTGAGAACAAATCTTTGCAGAGGTGATAAGCAAATTTGTACATGATGATATTTGAATATTCTAGTCATCTTTCATAGACATGACATTGTACATGTATAACTGTAGCTCTATCAGTTTGGAAAAGATACAACTATGTTTTAGAAGTAAAACATAAACTTTAAATTAGCGATCATTAAATCAGTGTGTTTTTCATGTTAGCTAAGTGTGTTGTTATAGTATTGCGGTACTTAGATTATTTCAGAATGTGATAGTTTATACAAGATAGTCAGAGCAGATCATTCAAGTTTTGTTGAAATATCTCAGATTTTTAAGATGTAAATTAAAATGAAATAAAATTATTATGGTGGTTTTGATTTCATATTGTTAACATTGAATAATTCTTTGGTCAGTCCATTCTACCTCATAATCCTTTTGTTGATGAGTCAATCTAGTGGAAAAGGAAATCTTTTCATAAATCATTTACATGCATTTTTTTTAATGTTCATTATTATTTCACCTACATTGTACATTTTATAGGTAATACAGGTACCTCAAGTTCAAATTTTTACAATCCTGTTTGATTGGTGATGTGTTAAACTTAATTTATGAAAATTAATTTATTACACCATTATGCATCTGAATTGAAACATGTTTGTGATTTTTTTTTTATTTAGGAAATGGGTCAAATGCAATTTCTACATTTCTAAAATACTGAGAAAAATTGTGAGTTATTTGAATTTATTTAAATTCAAAATTTCAAGTTACATATACTGTAGATTTAACTTTGATAAGAATGAGGACTTGATTATGCATTATTTTTTAGAGATGTGCTGTACATTGGACTTTGCTGTTTAGAGTTTCAGAAATTTTCTCATACAATGTACATGTACAAAGTCGTGTATATTGATAACGTTATGTTGACTTTTTATCTCAGACATTATCAAACCACTACTTTGTTTCAACCTCTTGTAAAATGAGATGTTCAAAATTCAACATCACTTTTTTAACAGGTGGAAAAGGATGCTGAACATTAATTTCAATTAGACTATATTGTTGATATGCAAAATTACGACAGAAAGAAAGCAATATGTATACAATATTTACAAAAAAAAGTTGCTTGTAGAAATATTCATTCATTAATTCATGTAAAGAATCAGCCACTCACATTTTAAAAAATGCTTCTTTAGATGCCTTTCTTGTGACTCGACATATTTACATCATAAACGCTTGCATATCTGTATTTCGATCAGTATGTGCAACTTCAATCATTTTCTAAATCAGCTCTGCTGTTCTGTTAAAAAAAAAAAAACAGCATGCAAGCCTAATCCAGAGATTAATTGAATCCATTTAGTGATGAAATCTTGTCCATCATTTATCACATGTTTTTGATAGTGTTGATTTTTTTTTTTAAGATTTAAAGGTTAATTTCTGTTACGTACTGTAGATATCCATAGGAAAATCCAATAGTACAATGATTTTTGTTAAATACCGTAATTGTTTGATGGTTACATGTTGACTGTGATTCTATATATAACTTGTGATTTGTCTTGTATAGATGATTGCAGTTATCTGTGATATTTAGTCGTTTTTGTTGATGCTTAATATTCCACATTTGTAGGAAGCATCATTGCCATTCCTATATTCAGTAAAACTTTATTTAAAAAATCAAAACAATTTTTGTTGTTATTAAATCTAATGGTTAGCTTGTTCAGAGAGTCTTTTGTTGGGCAGTGATCATATAACAGTTGAACTTTGGTAGCTTGAACACTGATGGCTCAAACTGAACATCTGATACTTTTGTAATGGGACAGGAGAAAATGTAGCGAAACTCCAGTCAGGAGCTCTACCAAGTGAGCTATCTGGCCACCCGCGATGGAACTGACCACCATCCATAAGATACTATAGAATAAATTTGCTACAAAACTTGATGCTCTCCACTCATCTGGAAAATGTATAGGTTCCAGTATCTATAATCTATACTAGATTAATTGCATTCCTAGATTGATTGGTTTAGCTGTGAATTATAGTTATTTGAGAAAGAGGTCTGCTCCAAACTTTAACCTGCTTCAGAAGCTTTAAATTGCTTCCAAAGCAATTGTGCTATTCTTAGGCTGAAAAGCCAACATCTGAAACCTGATTGTAGAATGAAATATAATTACAAATGCAACTTTATGCCAATCTTAAATATTTGCAGTTGCCAACCTACTGTTAATCTATATATTTTCATGAGGGTCAAAATTTTATTGTTTGAGAAAAAAAGACAGATTTGGGAGGATTCAATTTTCTGGCTGAAGAATTGCTGAGTTAATTGTGGTAGCTGCAGAACTGTAGCTATCGAAAAAAAATATTTTGACAGACCAGAGAGCTACAGTGCCACCCACTGAAAAAACTGTATATCTATTGCACACAAAAAAGTGCGCCATTTCTTGATTTATTTTTCCATGTTTTTAAACTTTCATCTCAAAAATATTACTAAGCTTGTGTTCCTAACATTTTCTTTCAAGGTTTCCACAACAAAACATTCCTAATAATTGTTGTTAATAGCCCTCCTGGCCCTGAAATTGAGGTCATTGAAAATTTTGTCTATTTATACTGCCATTTTGGTTTGCAAGATAATTTGGTCCAATTGCACTCTGTGCAGATGTCAACTACGAATGTACTTGATAAAGGAGTCAGGAATTTTTTTTTAAATCTATCTTTTTCGTGATTTAGATATAAAGAATATTTGGAAGAATTGATCCAGAACTAAGCGCAACTTTTTGTGCACAATAAATATACAGTGTTTACAATGGGTGGCACTGTAGCTCTCCGGTCTGTCAATATATTTTTTCAGATAGTTACAGTTCTTCAGCTAGTCTCCAAGTCACTTGAAAATTGACCTTTATTTTTTGTTAAAACATTGATATTTAGTTAACTATAAGGACTAGGATCCTCAAATCTAGTCAATTGATGCAATTTAGGACCTCCTATCATGTTGACCCAAAAGTAAGTCACAGTGACCTACTTTTGGAATTTTTGGTCTTTATTCGAATATTTTTTTTTTGAGATACTCAGTGGCATAAAATCATAACTTTGCCTAATGATGTTACCAAGCTTAAGATTGAGATCATCATGTTTTCCCAAAAAGTAAGTCACTGTGACCTATTTTGGAATGTCATCGCTATATCTGAATATTTAATATAATAAGGTGCTTGGAATCATTATTGTCAGTTGACATCTTTAGATGAATAGTTCTTAGAGTATGTTAACCAAATGATAGAATGACCTACTTCTGGAATATCAAGGCGTTATCTAAATATACACTAAGAGGATTCAAATGGAAGTAATAGGATGGAAGTTTATCAGAGAGATCCAAAGCCCTTGGGACTCTTGGTCTTCTTTTAACATAATTATTAGCAAGTATCTTGAATCTTCAGATATCTTGGAAATTTTTCTACACTCTCACCTAGTTCAAGTCAATGAGGTTTAACTGAACCTTTTTTAAATAGGACGCTAGAGAATTACATTGGCTCCCCCCTCCTTTATTGATGTGAGCTAAACCATTAATGACCTTTTCATTTCATTATGCTTTTAATTAACTTCATCCATGTAAATACCTCCCCTATCAACACCTCTACTGGACAAAATATATGTATATCTGTTTTATACTTAAATGCAATAAATAATAAAAGTTACTTCTAAACACATTTCTTTTCATATTTTATTCATCTCAAACAAATATCGATGAAGTTACAGATAATTTTAACAACAATTCACTTAACAACAAGTTTATACACCAGTATAAATTTTCTGTTGTGTCAAATACTGGACACAAATATAATGTAGATGCTGTAGTTACGAACAGATTCAATTAAACAGCTGATTGGAAGTCTAAAAACTTAAAAACGGATCATTCAAAAATACTTAATATGTATCTCTGGTGTTTGCCGTTTTGTATATGTATTACAACCCAAAACCATTAAGAGCATGAAATCTCCCAATATTTGCAACAATTAAAATCAGCTCATATATCTACATGTATAAGTATTTTTAGACAAAGTAGTGATTTTTAAATACAGCATGCTTTGGGTATTTGCATATACAAAATATACCGGTATTTTATGTCAAAACATTTAAAATAGGTGAGTGCACACTGGTTACATTCTTTTTCTGTGCTTAAATACAACTTTGAAGTTCAGTCTAATATTCTACAATGAAAGTGGTACATGTTCATAAATCTAGAACCAATAAATGAAATAAAATATGGCCTGCAATAGTATGCTGGCTTGTAAATGACAAAATATAAATCAGCTGAGATTGACATTATGCACGAGACTATGCTATGGGAAACAAAATTGACATAGGCATGTTGAAGAAAAATATAAATTTCCAAGTATCCATCTTTACTGCATTTTCCCCCAACATGGTATTCATAATAAAGAATTTTGGACAAGTTTGCAAATTAAACTGAAAAGGTAAATCCAGGTAAATACATGTAAGCACACCTACAGTATTTTCAGCTTGACTGGCAGGAAATGCAAACAGAGAAGTTTATAACACAGATAACAGATCACATTTCACGTCTTCTACACAAGATCTCTGCTTATTCTCTTTACAATTAAAACTTGTCTATTGATTATTTTCAGACATCTTTTAAATAATGAGTGTCTTATTCAACTTTAACAAGTATACTTCATGCATGTTCCCCAAATCAGAGAATCAAATCTCTACACAAAAAGTGAATAGAGAGTTCCTAACGTCCCTGTTCATCACCTAGATGCGACACCCTTAACTCTGTGCATCTTTTGGCTTGTTAGAATCACTGGGTTTGTCTTTGGCTCCTTCCTCTTCTTTAGCCGTTTTACTCTCTGAGCTATCTGCTCCTTTAACTGTTAAGTCTTCCAGCTTCTCTGTCAGTGAGCTAGTCTCTTTGTCATCATCAGTTTTATTTGTATCACCACCTCCTTGACTCACTCTCTCAGACTTTTGTTCATCTGTTTCCGACACTCCATCTATGTTATGAAAAGGTAGTAATTAAAATATTACCCCTTGTTTTTGCAATACATGTTCCTTAATTTTAAGAAATAAGCATGGGACTAAAAAGTGTAGGTTTTACATGATATACTCTGAGAACATGCTACAGATGTTTAAGAGGTAGCATTAACATTTAACATCCCCATACTTTTGCAAAAGCAGGCAACAACACATCATAAAGTACCGGTATACATATTCAAGTGATGAAACAGGTACTATTTGAAAACTTACTTGTAATTTTTGTTTTTTCATTCTCTTTGCCAGCCTCTTCAAACTTTTCTTTGAACTTCAATGCATCTTCATGTACAAACAGAAAGAAAGAAACATTAAGTACATGTAATGTGCAGCAATTGATAAATACAACGTTTACTTAATGTCATCCAATTTTTTCTTACTTTCTGAATTGGCAAACCGGATTGCTAACAACTCTTGCTTAGCTTCTTCATCAGCAAAATCTGAGGGGACTGGCCACACCCAAGCCCTGTCACTGCCGGCATTGGGCTTCAACTCCATCTGTGTTGTCACTACACAAATACAATATACATGTAAAAGAAATTTTATCTTTTTCCCGATAAATCAACCAAAGAGTCTACATTGTAAAATTGAAATTAAAAATACTCTCATGCCATTCAAACACATAAAATTATATGCGAGTTTAGTTTCCTTATTCTTTATATCATAATGTAAATTCATACGTACATGCAGATTTTATCATTAACCAATCACTACAATATGTATGATACAATCATCATTAATCTTCAGATTGTCTTCTTACCAAAATGATTGGCACAGACTTTGTGTGTTTTATCTCTCCTCATGAGTAGTCGTATTAACCCTGTGACTTTGTGTTTCAGAAGTTTCACATCTCCCGTGCCTCTCTCCTTCCATTCTGGGGGTTCTGCCTCATTGTCAAACCTAAATAGCTTAGCTCGCCTACAAAAGTATCATCTCATTATGCTTAAAAAATGAAGCATTTAATAAAAAAAAATATTTCAAACAGACTTCAATAGCTTTGGATGAAATAGTTGAGGAATACCTATAGAAACCTATGCCAATGTGGTTTACTGAGCCGGCACATTTTGTGACTTTTTAAGGTCTCATACAAATCCCCATGACCATGATGACTCTCATTTACTTATGATGAATTCTACACTACATCTAATGGCCAAAATCTGGCTATATCATGTATATTTCCATGAAAAAACTTCATCTCCATTCATCTTTTGATAATTTTTTAAATTTGAACCCTGAACAGATCAATAAGAAACTAGAGGGGAAAATAATTAAAGCAATTCAAAAAGTTTTACGCTAATTGATTGAATGAGAAATTAATGTCAACAATAAGAATTACAATCAAGTTTTCAAGTGGTAAAGTAGGTACAAAATTAGACTGAACTAGCTAAGAAAAATTTCCTTATTCCATTGCCAGTAGCTCTTTCTTGCTAATTAGCACACACAAATACTCTTTGTGCTTTACTTGATAATAGCTTTACTTCAATAATCAATATTAATTATACATCAAGTATGTATTTCACATACAAAACTAAGAATTTGGGTTTGCTAGTCTCTTATCATTTTTCCCATCATTGGAAACCCACGGGTAATCTCGTCTTTACTTATCACCCGTGGGCAAACTACCTGAAATATCGCCGTAAAATATGCTAATATGTTGTTTTTTGTTAACCAATCAGAGAGTTGGAACTCTTCAATTTTGAAAAATATGTTTATTACTTTGCTATTTATGGTAAATATTTTGACGCTCGTTAAAACGTGCGAATTTTGATTTAAAACAATGAAAGTCAATTCGTACAGGTCACTGACATTAATATCCGTCAGATATTATGAAGGAGGACCTCTTTCTAACTGCAAAATGTACCGGTGAGTGGATTTATTAGCTGTGTTAACTACGCAATGAGTTTTTCATGTTTTTGGCAATGCCGAACATGCATACGTAACGTGAACTGTGATTCGTTGTTTCGCATCGCGACTCTGTGATGCGGCCAATCAAATGACCCATGCATATTTAATTACATACGACGATTTTTCGGCGAGTTTGCCCACAGGTGATAAGTAAAGACGAGATCATCCGTGGGTTTCCGACGATGCATTTTTCCATGCCATAATTTTCTGCACAGAATTATTGTTTGAACATGTTGAACACTTTAATTACTTTTTTAAATAAATATTCTTTAAAAATTTGACATACATCTTGAATATCTCCTCTTCATCTTCCTCGAGAGATTTGACCTCAACTTCAGGAAGTCTGACAACTGGCTCAAAGTGGATTTCAGGGGACTCTACAACTTCTTCCTACAAAAGCCATTGTAAAATTTATATAATGTATTATATATGCATACATTTTAAAATGAGAGTTCTCATTAGGATTTTGCTAAGTCAAGTCCCAGGACTCAAGATTCCCGAGAAAGTCAAGTCCCAGCTCAATTTGGTGCATTCCAGAAAAATTATTTCAGTCTCATTTGAATTGAATTATTGCAGTATCCCTCCAAACAAACAGCAATAAAAATCTTTATTCTTACAGATGTTTATTTTCATGCAATCTATTAAAATATCTTAAATATAATGATACTACATCTAAGTAAGTAATTTCTGTGCAATAAAACTGGAGCCCCTGGAGACACACAATAGGGACCACCTTACCTTCTCCCATACAGTCATAGCTGATCAAATGGATCAAACTTGGATTGCAGCGGTAAGAAGCAAGAGCTTTCCTGACCTCATAAAAGTTACTGTCCAACCCGGTATGCCTAAAGCAAGTTCAATTGAATCTCATTGCAAGAATTTCTTGCATCGATCACACTTCAGTATCTGCACTTTTGTGCGAGATGTTGGCTTATTAACATTAAATAATTTGTGTCTTTTGTTTAAGAGCATCAAAGGGGCTTGCTCCTATAGTGTAAACACAGGAGTCGGCAGTTTTATCAGTAAACCAATGTAAACATCCTATGAGCTTCGTGAGCGTAGCGAGCGAAATGACAGGAATGCAACGCGTTTTTGGCGATTTCTACTCTGGCGCTTTAATTGGTCAAATTAACAAACGCATGCGACTCAATTCATGTCAGTTGATGTGTCCCACCTGATTTCTGATTCCCCCTCTTAATCGCCGTTATTGAGCCCAAAATCTAACATAAACAACATTTTGAAAAGAATCAGCCGCCATGAGGGTTTTCCCGTGACGTCACGATTCGATGTTGAACTGAGTTTGGATTCCCCTACATTTAAACATTTGAAAAAAATGTTCAATGATAGAATTATTTGTGTTTTTTAAATTTTTGAAACAGTAATATACCAAAAAATGTCTTTGAAATGAAGTTAAACTTACCTAAGTCAATGAACACATTTTGAATAAATCGTGACATCACAGGAAAACCCTCATGGCGGCTGATTCTTTTCAAAATGTTGTTTATGTCAGATTTTGGGGCCAATAATGGCGATTAAGAAGGGGAATGCACCAGAAATCAGGTGGGACACATCAACTGACATGAATTGAGTCGCACAAGTTTGTTATTTTGACCAAATAAAGCACCAGAGCAGAAATCGCCAAAAACGCATTGCATTCCTGTCGCTTCCGAGTTCGCTCGCGAAGCTCATAAGTAATGTTTACATTGGTTTATTGATAAAACTGCCGACTCCTGTGGTGTAAAGAAGCCAAATGAATTTGTTTTTCAAAAAATAATAAAATGGATTTCTACGTTTATAATTTTTTTCTTTCACTCTGGGAGCAGACCCTTGTGAGGAAATTCTTTATTTCTGCAAGTGGAATATGTCATCTCAATGTTAAACATTCAAAACATTAGCAATTAACAATAATTTCAAAACTGTTTGTTCTCTTTCTCTCTACAATTTCCATAATATACTTCTTATACATGTGAATAGCAAAATGCAGCGAGTTGATTTGAAGAACGTGTTCTATAAATGACACTGAAGCTGGGATAAAACAATGAATGAAATATCAATGTAAAATAGTCAAATGATGATTTCTACTTCATATTTACCTTTTCATCAGCCATAATTTAACAGATGACGGTAGATTTAATCATAAACTCCTTCGCGAAAAATATGCAATGAATGATGAATTGTTCAGTATTTTTCGTATTCCGACTCCGATGTTAATTAAAAGAAAAACGATATGCCCTATTCAACCACACTATCCATTTTTAAAATGATGTATCAAAAATAATGTCTTGTTCTCTGTAATCGTTAGATAATTTTTTTAAAGAAAAAAAAAGACTGAGTGAATTTGTGAAACTGCGTTGTTAACTGATCGGGTTCAATAAGCCTATATGTCAGAGGAAATCCGAAAGGTAATCAGTGCGAGCTATCACCTGTAAACACAGCAATCATACAAACGCCACAACTGCACAAGTGACAAGATGAATACAGGGGTTCTTGAGTTTGTTGGCAAGGTACTCAAATACCTTGCTGACAATCCGTATATTCTTGGTATAATTTTTCTCCTGTATGTTTTCATATTTGCAATGTCAGTTCTCTTTTCGGGACCTAAACCTGGAAGAAATCCTTTCTCTGCAAAGCATGTGAAACCAGTAGAGGAATTGGTCTCTGATCAGAAAAAACGTGATCAAATCTTAAAGCAGAGTATGTATGTTTGATAATGTGGATAGGAAAGTCTATTATTTAATTGCATTTAAAAGTGGTTAAATTTACATGTACTTCATTTGTATCAATGTATGAACAAATTATTCTGTGTTTTCAGGTTATCAAATTAATTTTTAGCAATATTGCCAAGTGTTGTATATGTATATACTCTATAGGTATAAACAGGTTATAAAATGCAAAACAGATCTGGTGCACCAAAGGCCTTTACCTGGCTATACATTAAATTGTTAATGTTCATGTCACAGTGGTTCAATCAGATTAATATGTTCTATAGTACATGTATAGATATAATTAATGTGATCAAGTCTGTTTCTTATGGAGTTGTGTAAATTCTAAATTACTTAAAAACATCTGCAAAAAAATCTTTAAAGCTTTACACAGATTCTTAAAATACATAACAAGTAGACATCTTGGATAATTATAGAAATTTTGTTTAAGGATTCAAAAGCCACAAAGTTCCTGAAAATCTGGACACGATCATCATTGGGAGTGGTATTGGAGGACTGGAGGTGGGGGTACTTCTGGCCCGCGCAGGGAAGAGAGTTCTGGTCCTGGAGCAGCATGATCAAGCGGGAGGCTGCTGTCATACCTTCATTGATAAGGGATTTGAATTTGATACAGGTAAATAATGTGTTTTTAAATTATTATAATGCTCAACCTCAGGCATAAATAAAAAATATTTATTTCCTCCTTTCTCCTTTGTTCCCATTCCAAAACAACAAGTCACCTGTACTCACAAGTTTTTGTTCCTTTTTTTTCCAGAAAAAAAATCCTTCATTTTGATAAAATAATTTTTAGGCTGAGACAAAAAAAAAAGAAAATATTTTATCCACACATCAATTAAATATAAAGCATCTGTACATTTATAAATTTTCCCCCAACTTTCTTAGGTATTCACTACATAGGAAAGATGGATCCGTCTTATGACAATAGGGTTCTGATGGATCAGCTGACAGGTGGAAAAGTGGAGTATCCACTGATGGATGAAGCCTATGATGTGGTCAGTAGTCAAACAAAGCCTTTACATTCTCTGTTGATACTAAAGAAATCCACCAAAAAAGTGAATGACTGCAACTTAAAAATATTATCACTTACCACTTCATAAATTGCTTGCTGTTCAGGGACATGTATTTGGAGGTTCTGAGTTGTATTGCTTTTCATTAATCTAAAAAATTCTGTACGTTGCAGGTTGCAATAGGAGACCCAATGACAGAAAAAGTTAGAAAATACCCCTTTGTATCAAATAAAGACAAAATCGTTGAGAATTTGAAAACTGCATTTCCAAAGGAGAAAGAGGGAATAGATAAGTTTTTCCAGCTGCTCAAGGTAATGTCAACTTTAGAATATTGCTTGCTTGCCCTCTCCTGACAAGGTCTGAAAATATTGGGTTGGTAGGTCGGTGAGAAATTTTTTACTCTTGGAAAGTTTCAATTTTAATGCTTTCTTTTTTATTCTATTTTCCAGAGTACATAAAAAATAATTTCTTCTTGGAGGTTTAAAAAGTTTTGAGTCGGACCATTTTTAGCCAGTCGGTCGGGAGAGGGCAACCAAACAAACTTTTAAAGATGGCCTAATCATCAAAATATTTTTTTTTAATGATGTATTTTTCAGATGAAGAAAATGGATCGCAATTTATTTTAAATTTAGAGCCATAAAGTTTAAGAGGATGCTTTAATTTAATTTGAGTGTAATTTTTCTTTTTCTTTTGTTTTTTGAGTTTTAGCAAAGAAGAAAGTATGGAATCGTGATTTGTATTTTCAGGAAGCAAGACATTTCTTCACTGGATGTGTGGTTCTAAAAGTTCTCCCTAAGTGGCTGGCACAGCTTTTGGTGTCTACTGGACTAATTAACATCATCTTCAAGGCTTATGGTCAGTTTGGAAAGCTCACCCTGAAAGATGTTCTAGACAGTGTCACAAATGATGAGGAACTGAAAGGGACACTGTCCTACATATTTGGAGATTATGGTAAATTATATCTTATCATTTTTTATGATCAGCTTCTGAACCATATTATATATAGTGTATGTAAAATATTTCTGTTTTCCTCTCAAGCTGAAAAAATGGAAAAGTGATACAGACACATATACTCATATTCATATGAGACTCGGTTTAATACATATATGTTTGTTACAGGTCATTGTTTGCATATAACACAAAATGAAACTTGAAAATAAATCTTTAAAAGATCCTAGACATTGTACACACACTCTCACCATCAATAATTATTTAATTTAAAGTAGTTTAATTTTTCAAAATATGATCACTTTGGCAATGTAAATAAAATGGTTTCTTGTCTTACTTTTAAAAGAATTCAGATTGACAGGTATTGTTTAATTATATCCCTTGCAACAAGTTGCATGAGGTATAATGTTTTTGACCTGTCCGTCAGTCAGTGTGTCAGTCAGGGTTAGGGTTAGTCCATCATTCCTGTGTTTTTTGTCGGCACAACTCCTCATAAACTGCTGCACACAATTTCATTAAACTTTGCATATATTTAGGACACAATGTGTAGATGTACATATTACCAGAAAATTCTGATTCCTTTAATTTTGCTGAGAATTTCTGTACTTTTCAACTTAGATTTTTGACCATATCTTGAATATGGAGATGAATAGTTTGTCAACGCAACTCCTCATAAACAACTGCACACAATTTCGTCAAACTTTGTAGAAATTTAGGACACAATGTGTATAGATGTGCATATTACCAGGAAATTCCTATTCCTTTATTTTTTTCTTGGAATTTCAGCACTTCGACTTTTGGAGGAGCATGGGTTATGTGAGCTTGCTCACTTTTTCTTTCATTATTTCAGGAGTGATCCCCTCTAAGACCCCGTTTGGTCTGCACTCTGTCATCATGGGTCACTATTTTACGGGGGCCCATTACATCAGAGGGGGGCCCAGTGAACTGGCTTTCCAGATGATTCAGGTCATTGAGGAGAGGAATGGGAGGGTGCTGGTCAATGCCCCCGTGTCCCAGATCATCATGTCTGACAAGGGAAGAGCCATAGGTAAGTTAAATAGGAGGGTAAGAATAGCTGTTTAATGTATAATTCCAATCTTCATTTTATCTATTGATTTCCTGTGTTTTGATTGGACGAGAACACGTTCCAGAAAATTTTTACACATCGATAAATTCTTTCAATCAGTACTACTTTCTTGATGACACTACTAGGTTATCGTATAAACAATGAAAGCAGTTATTTCTGGGTCTGTTCTGGCTAAATAATGAATACAAGAACTTTAAATTTAATAATAGGGCTTAAAGTAAAACAAAACTGGCAACATACTAGACTGCCTAACTGATGGACGCCGTGAAAATGTTTATGTCACTGTCCGATCACGAGTGTGAATTTTAAAAACCGCTGTCTCAACGTTCATACGCAAAAGAATAAGCTCAGTCTTGTATCGTTTTGACAAGGGATGCGGTAAAATGTACCTCAAGCTCTTGCCCTATTAGCATCAAATTCATATTTACTTTCTATATTGTTCCTCAATATTTGAATAAACAAGTGCAAATCAAAGGCGTCATCGGTCTGCAACTTTCTCTATGAGAGTTGTTGTTTATGTCAACATGGCCATGGTCAAAGACGAACTATTCTGAATAAACTCGTAATTACGATATTTGTTGACTTAAATAGCATTCCATTAGTTGTTATAAGTTTATTTATCGATTGTTTTGACAAATTGTAAGTTGAACTCTATCGAAATTCGTCTCGATTACGTTCCTTTACGGTAAAATGTATTTTCTTGGAATTTCAGATTAACGGATTGTATGGAGGCCTCAAAGAGAAATAATTTAAATATTTTTAAAAAAATTCGATATTGGAATTATAAGAATTAAACGTTCTTTTTTGAAAAATTTATCGATGTGTAAACTCTTGACATTTTACTCACAAACTTAACATAAAAGTGCTTCGCACTTTTATTTAGTTTGTGAGTAAAATGTCAAGAGTTTACACATCGATAAATTTTTCAAAAAGAACGTTTAATCCTATAGTATTTTTAAAGGCAATGTTTTGTATTAGTTGTTAATTTCGATTGCTAGAAACAGAGTTGAAGGGAGACAACTCTGCATTTTATTGCTCACTGAAAGATCTTATTGATTGCTTTGTACTTAAAGTAATTAATGTTCAAATTAGGAAGTTTAAGAATTACATATTTTATGAAAATAATAATCCAAATTAAAATAATATATGAATTTTATGTAAAAAAAAAAAAAAACGTGAATTAGTTATGTAAATTCTATATGGAACATCCAATGAATACCAAGCTAAAGAAAAAAGCGACTGTTATTAGAATGTCACAAAATGTTTTTGAATTCAATTGTACTGCAGAGTTAAAGCAAAATAATACCAGGTAATATCACTGGATTGTTAAATAAGTAAGCTTTTCATTTTTTGTTTTGAATACAGGTGTAAGACTCAGGAAGGGAGACAGTGATGTAGAGATATTTGCCAAACGTATTGTGTCTGATGCCGGAGTTTCTAATACATTCCTCCATCTCCTGCCAAAAGAAGTG